GTTTACGTTAAAATTTTAATGTTAAATTTAGATTTTAGGTTTTAAATTTTAGACTTTTTGAATGGTTAAATTTTGATTTTAGTTTTTTTTTTTTTAACGAGGGGCAATTCTCTTATATCTGTTAATTAGGGATGTTTGCAGTGTGATTTGGTTTGAATTTTAATATTTTTTAAATCAATTTAATTTAATCGGTTAGTAAAATTCTTAAATTAATCTAATATACTATTATATGATAACCAAATTAATCTAACTTAAATCGGATTGATCTGATTTGATCAGATTGATCAATTTTTAACATTATTAAAAATTTTAACATCAAGTAATAAACACAACTATAAAACACATTAATATCAAAGTCAATAAAAATATAATAAGATGCATAAATTATAAACAAATTCTTATACTCCTTTACAATTATAAAGCTTGAAAATATATAAAAAATTTTCTTTGCTACATCAACGGCACCAAGAACAATAAAAAATAACTTTAAGTTTCAAGTACAATGTAAGTAATTTTTAAATGTTAAAATTAATTTTTTTCTTAATGTTCTAATGATTCAATCCCATCTTCCAAACCCTATTAAAAGCAAATAAAAATTAATATAAATATCACTAAGATTGATTAGAAGCATTGATAATTAAAATTTAAAACTTTTCAACAAAATATCCAAGAATAGTAGAATATAGGGTGGCAATTTACCCCATTCCTTGCTGCGAGGCCTTGTGGCGATCCCCGCCATGGGGATGGGGCGGGGATGGTGGGCTTTTTTTCTTGTGAAATTTAGTGGGAAATTTTCCTTGTCTCGTGGGCTTCGCGGGGATTTCTATCCCCACAAAAATTAAAAGAATATGTAAATTAATTTTATTTTAAATTTAATTCAACCTTTAAACCCAAATCCAAACCAATAAAAATTAAACTTAATCTAATTTTACCCAACCCAACCCAACTCAATTCAACCCATAAAAATTAACCCAACCCATCATTAATAAGTTTGTTGATTTAGCTATTTATGTTGAATTGATCTTTATTTATATTTAGACAATTTATATTTGATTTATATTTAAAAAATTTTAGTTAACTGTACTTGAATTTTTAAAATTTTATTCATTATAATTGAATATTAATTAATTATATGTAAAAAAGTTGTGTTTTGATATTAATTGGTGAGGAATGGGGATCCCCTCCCTGTGAGGAATGGCGATGGGGGACAAAATTTGCCCCCATCAAAAATCCCCGTAGGGTTCTCCATCCCCACCATTCACGGGAACGAGGATGAGGAGGGACTCTCCAACCTTCCAGGGCCCCGTTAACATCCCTAGTAGAATATTAAAATTAGTTATATTATATAATTTTAAGACTTCTAGAATAATACTTTTTTAAAATTTAGTTAGGAGAATTAGAATATCATTTTAGAAACAAATTAAAAGTTTAGAGTTCTAAGAGTAGAGTTGCAGACTGTTTCTAAAAGGTAGAGTTGTAAGTAAATCAGAAATTTAGAATTGGAGTTGGAGTGCACGATCAATAAAGAAAAGTAAACTAGGGAATATAAGAATATTCTATTTTTATTTTTTAATTAAGTTAATAGAGTTATTATCTTGTAAAACAAGAAAAAGAAAATTTAAAATACTACAGAAAATATATTATATTATTTAATTAAGTTATCTTGTAATTAGATTTTATTTTGTAATCAAGTAGTTTGGACAATTTGAAGGTAAAATCACAAACCAAACAAATTATATTGGTTTTAGAATTTTATAATTCAAACCAAACCAATTTTATGTTGGTTTGGTTT